GAGTAATTGTTCTCAAATAGCCAACTTGGCTTTCCCTAGCTTAACAGTGCAAACCACATCTGCTCCTCCCAATTCATCTTACAAACTTATACATCTGGAAGATCCCAGTGTCAATTTCCGAAACGGCATCAGTTGAAGCCATGCTTACCTGTTCTCCATTTCTTAGTTGCCACATGTGGAGGGGGGGAAGTGAGCCAGCAAGGAGAGGGATGAGGGATGAAACACGGAGGGGTTTTCAGCAGTGTGTTATTTCCCAACCAATTACCAACGTGATGGGTCATTCCATTACTTGCTGGAAGAGAAAAGTTTTCCCAGCAACTATCAGACGGAAACAGGGTCTCTTCTCTCAAACTGATGCTATCGAGTGGATTGGAAATCTGATGGCCTCATGCTTTTCTAGAACATTGTAATGAACATTTTGTTACAATGAATAGATGACTCTTCTTGGATAGAGGCCAGTTTGCACAAGTTGTTTACATGAAAACTAATCCTATTACAAAGAAAAAAAAACCCTACCCTAACAAGCAGGTACAATACCAAAATAATAATAATACAATGGTATGCTCCAAAGTTACCACAGGAAGATGTTATTTGCCACACCCTTATTATTCCAGTCCAGGGTGTACACACCTCTGCCAATCCAAACAACCCACTCTTGAAACTTTTAATCAAAGAGATTAGAAATTAAGAAGTTTCTTCCTTTGAAACATGATTCATGGGGAAGCCATATTGAATGAGTTACTATTTGCAAGGATAATTCTTCTTTCATCCTAGGATTTCCAGTGAAGATATTATCTTGTCTTCCATGGAAATTAAACTGGTATAGAGTAGACCTACATTTAATATGAAGCATGTTCTTCTAGGATTGATGGGTAATAACGGCTTCTCTCCAGCTGTAGAAACGTCCCCAACTACCCCAGGAAATGTAAGGACAAGTTAAGCTCATCTCGCCTCATGTCAGAAATGCAGGAACTAGAAAGGGGGAAATTATTAATTTAAATTTAAATAGATTAAAAACTTTAATATAACATAAATTTATATAGTTGTAGCCCAATGCTGAGCCACATTGATGGCAAGGATATTTCAAACCAACAAATCATTCTATGTGCATGTCAGTCCCAGGGTAAAAGATGGATAGTTGTTTGAATAGTACCACATTTGCGGTACATATCCTTGTCCTCTGTGGTCTTTAGTTCTAGGCAAAACAGTGTGTAGTCTGTTTAAACATCTCCAAATTGTCCATTCCTCTTCTGAACCTCAGGCAACTCCTAAATCGGTTCTATCCAATTATGAAGATATTTAACTAGAAGTTTCTATTTTTTAAATTGTTCTTTTTGAGGTGTAGTAACAATCTCCTGGGCACAATCTAAAAAGCTCCTTCTTGATTTCAATCTTTTTGTAGGGGGTATTTGGGCAATAATTGGTTTGCTGGATCATGTAATACCTCTTCATATTCCGTGTTTTGTGACTTATATAGGAAGCCAGCTTGTTGGAGAATAATGCCTGGCAGGGCTATTTCGCCAAGATATATAGTTTGTCGACTTGGGAGGAGCGCAGGCATCCAGTAATGATGTGGCATGTATCACTAAACATCCTATCCACCCGTGTAGCGTGTGCAAACCAGCCCCAAACAGGGCAGGTATACTCTCCCACCGAATAACACAATACAAGGGTGGCCATTCAAAGAGTAATGGGGTGGGCACCCCAAATAGTTCCAGCCAGCTTTCTGAGGAGATTATGACAGGAAATATCTTTTGTTTTAAATTGCAACAATGTCTTTTAAAGGTTAATGTTTGGTCCAGTGTAATATCAAAGTAATGTGGCTTTTCACAACGTGCCACTCCATAATATTGATCCTGTGTCTGGCCTGCCTGTTTTGGGGAGATGGAATGCACAGACTTTTTTTTTTTTTTTTTTTGATGGTTAGGTGTTAGCCCATTCACGTTATAGTATTCTGACATATTCTTAAGAGCCAGAAGTTCCCTGAGCAGTAAGTGCCAAATCATCAGCACAGATCAAAGTGCCAAATCATCAGCACAGATGAAAGTGCCAAATCATCAGCACAGATGAAAGACAATGTATCAGGATCAATGGGTTGATTATTGGTGTGTATATTGAACAACAAGGGGGGCAAGATCATTCCCCTGTAGAAGGCCATGTTGCTGGACTTTCCACCAGCTCTTTTTTCCCTGGAAGGCAATGAAAATTCATCAATACAATTAGTCAGAGCAAGATCATGTGTGATATTATATAATTCCAAGAGAAGCTTCCTATGATCAATTGTGTTATAGGCCGCAGATAAATCCACAAAAGCAGCTCCCATGATTAGACCTAATTAAAAGCCATCCTCTGTGTCCTGGGTGAGTTTAACTATCCGGCCTGTGAAGAAACCAGTTTATTGAGGAATAAGAGTTGGTTCAATGACAGGAAACATTCTACTTAATAGAATTCTCTCATAAAGTTTGAAAGGTTGTCAAAGGAGGGAAAATGGACGAAAATTCTTTGGGTCGTTCAGTTCTTTTCTGAATTTCAGAAGTCCAATAACCTGGGCTTTCCTCCAAATCTTCAGAATACAATTTGAGGCCACACATACATTAAAAAGTGATAACTGCTTGGCAGTGTCATTGCTTGGCAAAATCTCCAAAATATTTATTTGTTCAACATGAACATCATTTAATCCCACCATTTTATCATTCTTCATATCATGAATTGCTGTTTCCAGTTCTTCATCTCTATCAAAGAGTGGGGTCAATTCATTGGCCTCCTCTTTCACTGCCCTTAGGAGCCTGTCAGGTAAAGCCGAAAAGTCAAGCTGCTAAAGACTATAACTGAAAATTTGTAGTTTTTATTTTCCCAACATTTCCATTATCAATACTATAGATTTTCAGACTTAGAAAGCTCAGACATACTAACATTATTGCTTTAAATTAATTCATTGCAATTGCACCATTCAAATGCATATTGCTGTTTTTGAAATAAATCAGCTTCAACTTTCAAAGGGATCTTTAAAATATTTTTAAGAAAAAAAAACCTTTGGGTCTTAAAATGCTGCCAAATCCTAAAAGCCATATAATCTTCTATATTAGCTTTAGTGTGAAGGAAAATAGCAATTCATAAGAGATGCTTAAGGTTTCCTTTCATAGCAAGAAAATTGGCTCTCCACTTCAATTTACAACTCACCATCCCTTCTTTTCAACTGATCTGACAGCCTTTCTGAGAAACAGCCTTAGCCACAGGTTAAGTTTGACAACACAACATAAAGACAGAGAGTAGCATCATTGGCCATCCGGTGTAGCCTATCATCAAGATCATGACCATGATATTCCACTTAAAGACTTTTTGTTGTTAAAAAAAATGGGCTGTGTATTAAATTACTGTTGTTAACTCCTCCCTTATAGAGTCTTTAATTTTTATGAGTGCACCTGCCAGTACTGAGATAATAAGCATGTAGCAATGCATGTCAGCGATTTTGAAAACTTCCCACACAAAAGAGAACTTGCCATATGGCAAAGCCTAAGATGTAGGGAGGACAAAGAACTTAGAATAGAGCTGGAAAGGGAGTGATCAGCGTGGTTGGTAACTTCAAGAGAAAAGCCAGGCTCCAGCCAATATTTATAGGACAAATATAGATGCTTCATGGACATTCTGGGAAGACATAAATTAACTTTAGAATATGAGAATATAATCAGAAGAACCTTTTCTTCCAAAGAAACCTGAAAGGCCTGAAGACTTATTCAGGAAACTGACTTAAATAAGGGCCCAAGAGTGAAAGAGATGTTATGTTGTGAGTGCTTGGGTGCCAGTCATAAAAGCTTTTATTTGCCTTGGCAGGGCATAGAAGAATAACAACAAACAATTCAGTGTGCTATTATTGAGCGTTTATTGTTGATTTTATTGCAATTTTCAATTTGCAACTATTGTAATAGACATATTTTAATCTCTTGGAAGTGAATTTGGAGAGATATAGTTTGGTGTAGTAATTAAGGCAGCACGCTGGACACTAGGAGAATGAGTTCTAGTCCACTTTGGCACTTGGGCCAGTCACACTCTCTCAGCTCTCGGAAGAAGACAAAGGCAAATCACTTCTGACACCTTCCAAGAAAACTGTAGGGACTTGTCCAGGCAGTTGCCAGGAGTCAACACTGAACTTGAAGACGCACAAAATAAATCTGGAGATCCATTTAATCAAAAGTGGTATATACATTTATAAAAGGGTCAAATGGAAGTAGCTGAATATTTGGACCCAATATATATTACTGTATAAGTAAAAATGAAAAAAGTATGCAGAAAAACCTTTTCAGTTGTTCTTCTATAGCAACATCAATTTATATCAATTATTGGCTTTATAATGTACAGAGGCTATCCCATGCCTTCAAAGTTCTTGTGGAATGCTAAATAATCCATTTCTTTACTATTGTTTTATATGATCGCTGCAATTTTTTTAGTCCTTTCAATAAACACTGAAAGCCGAGAATGTGAAAGATTGGTGTGGAAGAATAATTATGAAGATAATAGAACTGAGAATAAATGGAAATTCAATTCCTAATGAAAAAGTAGTGAGAACTCTACATCAGGCACAAGTTGATTGTACTAAGACATCTCCATTATATTAAATTTGTATTTCAAATCTATTTAATACAAATACAAATGTATTTAAATTTGTATTTGTACTTTTTTATGAAACATTAAACCTCATTTATAATCAAGAATGTAAATTCTGTAAATGAAGAGCAACGACAGAAGAGCACTCTTTAATTGCCCAGATTTGAGCAAAGCTGGTATGGTGTACTGAGTAGAGTGTTACAATTCAAGATGCTATCAGCTTTTCAAATGCCTTCAGACAGAAGGCAAGTTTCCAGTCTCTGGAAGGTGTGCAAGTGTTTTACATAAACAAAATCTGCACTTAAAATAGCTTTTTTGCCACCTTGGTGCAGATACCAACCAGTTAAATTTAAAAGTGCAGAAGGCAGAAGCAGCATGGGAATCACAACAACATTGGCTCAAATCCAGGAACATTTTATTTCTCTGGAATGGAAACAACTCATCCACTCTGAACATAAACTGCAGGTGGTAATTGTACATTCTCTCTCTTTAAAAAAGAAAAGCAAGTGTTTAATTCCATAAATTCCTGTCACGAGAAACCATTTTTTTTAAAAAAAATTGTACAACAAGCCTTTTTTTTCCTTTCCTTTTTTTTTTTCTTTTACAACAAAGCATCAATGTTAAAATGGGTTCACCGGCTTCTACCACATTGTCGTCTGTGTATACCATGCAAAATGCTACATCTGCTTAACACATTTTACACATTAGCATTACAAAGATTCAAAGGTTCATTGGTTGATTGATATTTTTAAGACATGGATTGTGATGCATTTTGTTCCTCCCCACCCCGGGGAACTTATAAAAATAATTTAGTTCAAATGGACTAAATACAGGATTGCGTTCTAGCTTTGTACTTCAGTCAATTCCATAAGTAAGCCGTTGGCCACGAGGACCAGCTTGTGTGGTTCTTATAGTTGTAAGGTCATAGGGTTAGAAAGTATCTCGGGATTTGTAAGAAGTCCAGCCTCCAAGCAGCAATAAGGAGTCTCTAGACTTCAAGGATCCTCCATACTCAATGCTCATCCAGTCTCCTCTTACAGACCTCTTTAAAGGAGAATATTTTGTTTCTGACATCAGATGGTTCCTCTCTTTTATTAGTTCCATTTAAATCAGCAGATCTGCAGCAACTAAGAATTAGTTCTGGCTGAGCTCTAAGAGTAACCTACAGCTGAAGAACATCGTTTCAGTCTGGGCCAATTTCGCATGGATTTAGTCCTTTGTCCTTGGCTTCTTTGTACATCCTTTGGAAGTCTTTGAAACGTGGGGCACAGCCTAACCTGACCTCCCCAAAGTGCATACTGCCTGTGAAGAGGAAGTCTCCCTCTCCTGGTTTTACCCCACATTGAAGCAGAGTCTTGATCTGTCCTTGCCACCGACCACTCTCCTCAGCAGAATTGAAGATCCTTGTTTTCTGCCTGTAGATTCTATTGATGTTTATACTGATAATGGAATCTTGCTGATCCTCCTCATTGATTACACTTTGGATGGTACCTCTGACAACTAGGAAGAAACACAGGCAAAAAACAAACAAACAATTAGATACAGAGCTACAGTGATATCCACATTTATCATTGTCTTTAATATATATGAAACGGCAGGACCAGATGTTAAGAGCCCTCCCCCAAATGAGGCAAATTCTGTCGTGTTCTTAAAATTAAATTCTTACACCATTTGAGAGTTTAATTATACATTGCTGCACTCTAACCTTAAGTTCTGTATCTGAGTTTATGCACATATGGTAATATTTTTGAAAGGATTTTGTTCCCTGTTTCAGGTACCTAAAACACATCCAGGAAAAGTAATTCTCATAATCCCCAGCCTGGGGAAGATCTATCTTACAGTATTACACTAAACCACAGTTTATCTAGCTTCATACGTAAATATCATTAGATATTTCAGAGAAAGTTAAGAAGAAAATAATTAGTACTGATTTGTAATCTGATGTCCAGATCACAATTTTTGAAATATAATATTCCTACAGCAGCCTTGTATTTAACTCTAGATGTCCTTGGTTACCGCTCCCCCAAATCAACCAGATTGAGGACAAATGTGAGACATTAGTTTGGGAAGCAAGGGGCGCAATGGCTCAGCAGTTAAAGACACTGAGCTTGTCAGCTGAAAGGCTGACAGCCCAGGTTTGACATCCGAGCGCTGTGTGACAGGGTGAACTCCTGTTACTTGTCCCACCTCCTGCCCACCTAGCAGTTCAAAAGCATGCAAATGTGAGGGGGTAAATAGGTATCACTTTGAGGGGAAAGTAACAGTTTTCCATATGCCTCAGCGTACATAGTTATGCTGGCCACATAAGCACAAAAGTATCTTTGGACAGCGCCGGCTTCCTTGGCTAAGAACAGAGAGGAGCATCACCCCCTAGAGTAGGAAACAACCAGACGGGGAAACTTTTACTTTTACCAGTTTGGGAAATGTCCGGTATGGATATCCAATAAGATTTAATATTGATGTATGGTATGCATCAATCCTCCAATGCAAGTCAAATTATCTCCTCAGTGCAAAAACCAGAAAAATATTGGGAAAATCAGCTCTTTTAGGAATTGTCAATTATTAAATCATCAGAAAAGAAATATATCATAAACTACCCTTCTCCAATTTTTTGCTAACCAGGTATATGTTGGACTAGAATTCGGACAAAAGCTGGAAATTCTGGGAAGTGTTAGTTCAACAGATTTGAAGGGCTCACAATTGAGAAAGGCTATGATCCATATTTAATCTACTAAAGCCTACTGCAATAATCTTGGGGTTTAGAGCTACAACAGTTTTTAATTTCAGCTGTGTCTAAAAGAACAGTCAATCTATCCACTACAAAAAATCCTAAAATAGGGAAACAAGTATTCTCTTCATTAAGTGGTCAATCTATCCACTGCAAAAGTTGACAAAATGGGGAAACAAATATTTTCTTCATTTGCATAAAGTTAAGAGTTCATCTGTAAAGCTAGCATGAAGAAAGGAGCAATGTTTAGCTTTTGGGAAGTTTCAGAATACAGTTGCAAATAACCATGTGTCAAGGAACCTAAAAAACCAAAACAAAACAAAACACCTGGAGGGGCCAAAACACCTGGAGAAGACCAGTTTGCCTATTAGTTAAACAGGATAAGCCTCACTATTAAAATAAATAAGTGCCTACACCAAATTCACCTTAGAAATTTAAATCACATTCTATTAATGGCCAGTAACATTTACATTGAATTCTTTGGCATTCTGCCCTGAAGAAATACACACAGCAAGCCACCACCTGTCTAGGCAACATTTTCCATCAAGACGGAGCAAGAGCAATCCCACCACAATGTCTGGGTGTTGCATCCTCCTCCCTGTTCAGAATATGCCCCTATTATATCCACAATACTAATAGACTGTATTTATATCTGTAGCACATGTCCAAGACCAGACATGCCCAGCTGTTTCATTACAACATTTACTTTGGATTCCAAGCGTGGGAAAATTGCTTTAATGCTATTTCACTACCATAAAGAGGAAAACAGTTATCCCACTAGTCATACTAAGGAAAACCACTTGTCTCTTTGGGGGGAGACATAACAGAAAAAGGGATACCTTTTGCTGGCACAGATCACTGTGTTTATGTCTATTTGAGATCTAAGCATTTCAGGCAGGCAATCTTTGCAGGCAAAATGTAATTGGAGAAAAATAATACATAATTCTGCTTGATCTCTGCTAAGCATACTGATAAAGTCTAACCGTATTGTAGCACTTCCTATCCAGAGAGTCTACAGAAGATTTCTATTGGATATCTATGCATCAAACTATTTTTTTTTAAAGACTCAGGGAAGGTTGTCTGAATTGAGTCTGTTTTGCTTTCAGGTTTTATAAAATCCTTCTCCCCCAAATAATATTTTTAAAAAGTAACCTTTAATGAAAAATTAGTCAGAGTTTTGGACCAGTGTAAAAGAGAATATTTTCTATTCCCTAAAAAGTTTCATTCACCGATATTTTATTTTCTTCTGTAAATTTTGAGAAAGTCCTTCCTTTCTTATAAGTCAGGAACCCAATAAAATAAAAGACCCTGTTGTAGTTATTCCCTGCAGAATTAAGTATAAACTTCATCTTTAAAAGCAACAAATTCCACAGAAACAGGGGTTTAGTTTTTATCAAGGGTCTATTTAGAAACATCAAGAGGATAATTCCTATTACTCGCTCCTAAAAACCTTTGAACTTCCACCACTATTACCACAGCCCGTCTCTTTCTTTGTCCATGGTAGAAAAGAACTAGCCAAACACAATGATTTAATTGAAGCTCTTCAGAGCTAAAACCCCATAAAGGCTTTTCCTCCCTTGTCCCCTTTGTACTTCTTGGATACACTTTGTTTACTCCAAAATGAGCAGAAAAGGGCTCCCTTGTTGGTTACAATCTGGGGCTTTCAGTTTGTTCACTGTTTGGTGAAGTTTCTGTAGGCCAAATCCAGCAGATTATCACAAGGGAAGAATGGGATTTTACAGAGCAATGGTGAACTCAGCAGTCATCCAGAAATCAAGGAAACTTACCAAAGTCACTGGAGCAGACAGCCAAGAGAACTTCCGTGTCACTGCAAGGTCGGCAGGGAGCTGGGAATGAAACAAAGAAGGACATTTTAGTATCTCAAGAAGGTAAACGTTCTACCCAGGAACATATTAAAGGTCAACCTTTATGCACCATTCAATTCAATCAGTCTACTTCTTCAGAGCAATATTTTCTATGAAAATGTCCATATTCTGGACATTATATTTAATGTCATATCCAGAATGTGACATTTTTCTCTTACAATAAACCTTTAATATCTACCTATATTCTACATTGAATTGTATCCCCTGGAAGAATAGTTCCCTTAAATTGGCAGGTGTTAACTTGTCAAGATAAACTTTTAAAACCTAATTCCTCAAAATTCAGCAAGCAAAAATCCCTGCAGATTACATGCATTCGAAATTCGAGATCTTTGATTCTAGGAATTTATTCCAAGCATCAGAACTTGCAATAGGAAAAATTATTCCTGATTATCCCAACAAAACTGGTTAGTCCATTTAAAATAAGAACATAAATAAAGATGCAGCTGGAAGCCATGCCTTAAACATAAGATGTAGTTGAGCCTGGAGGAGACTACAGAGAGGAAGTTTTTTTTTTTAAAAAAAGAGAGAATCATCTAGGAAAGAGACAGCAGCTGTTTTGTGCCCTTACACAGTAGCCTTTATTCATCAGCAGTTGCACCACAAGGCTGTGGGACAAAGCCAGAGGCAGTCTACACCTGCATCCCTGGTTTGTGAAGCTAGGCTGAGGTCTGAAGGTCACACTATACATTAAAGATACCATGTGTAGCTTCATGTTTTTCCCTTGGACTTTGTCTTAAGCTACAAAGTAAAGGCTGTAGACCTGATACAGTTCAGTACCACAGCATATTGGGACAGGGGGGTTAACCTCTCTTGCTTGGGCCACAGTTTCTCTGTGAAAGCTGCCTCTTCCCTCAGCATAGTAATTAGTGATTGAAACTAAAGAACCCATTCATGCTTACTTTCTGGCTTTAAAAAGACCAGTCAGCATACATTTTATGCATTTCTACCCTCTAAATCCTCTTAACTCTTCTCTTGTTGTACTGCTTAAAGGCTGCTGGCCTAGAAACCAGGAGACTGTGAGTTCTAGTCCTGTTTTAGGCATGGAAGCTGGCTGGGTGACTTTGAATTAGTCTTTCTTTCTTAGGCCAACTTATACCACAAGGTTGTTATTGTCGGGAAAATAGGAAGGTGAAGGAATATGAGGTATGTTTGCTGCCTTGACTTATTTATATATATAAAAAAATAAAAGGTGGGATATTTAATTTATTATTTGTTTTATTTATTTATTTGTTTGTTTATTTATTTATTTAGCATATGGCATATGATGGAATAAAAATAAGTAAATGAACTCTGAGTTGTTACTGATTTCTCTTCATTTTTCTTCTTTGGGAAATCAACTTTGGCTCTCAATTTATCCTACTCCCTCCTTTTTCTTTCAGGAGATTTGGGATGGGGTTAGAAATATAGTATATTTTGTGGGAGTTTAACATTTTTTCCTTCTATCTATCGCACTTGTAATGTGACAGTCAGATATGTATAACCAGACCCACATGTGTAGAGTTCAAACTAGATACTTTATTGTTCTCTGCAGGAATCTCTCCAGACTGTCAGTTTTTATATCGGAAAGATTAGATAAGGCTCTAAGGCACGGGTCTCAAACTCGTCCCATCAGGTTGCCATGTGATGGTCCCCTAATGTTTCACTAAATGACTAAACAATTCATCAATGAATTTTCTATCCCAATTGCGGTGGTAAATTGAGGACCACCAGTAAATAGTCCTGTTTCAAGCTCAAAAAATCTTTTGACCTTGAAAAAAAACCTGGCTTAACAGCTGTTGTAAGCTTCCAATCTGAGATGAAACATTTTCAAGCTTGGAAAATTTCAGACTCAAAATAACTGCACATTTCTAAACAGCAGTAATCATTAAGAAAGAGAAGTTGCACTGTGTATTAAAAGTATCATATCTGTTAAGGAATTCAAATGAATTAACATGGTGGTACTGCAGAAGATATCTGGATTTAAATAAGCAGAGGGATGAATGTGGGCAATACTATTAGCCTCCACTATGGCTTATCCGACCAAAGAGATATGGGTGATGCTTTCCAGAAGCAAAGTGCAATTCTTTCAAAGAGGCATGAGGTAGCAGTGATAGGGATTTAAATTACCATGACATCATTTGGGAGACAAATTTTGCCAAGTGTTCTGGGTATCTGATTGTCTTGCTAACAAATTTTCTCTATCAAAGGGTCATGGAAGGCACAGGAGGATTGTTATCTTTGATTCAGTAGCCAAAAGTTATGGTACAGACAATGAAATAGTCAGAGCAGTTGGCTAAACCTAATCTTGCTTGGAAGCCAAACAGGATCAGACCTGGTTAATGTCTGGACCGAAGTCCACCAGAAAATGTTAGAGCTATAGATTAGACTGGTGTCATTGCCAGGAGGAGGGGGGGGGAAACTATTCATAGCCATAAAATTACCAGATTTCACCTAGTTAAGGAGATGGAAGTAGCAAGAAACACAATGGAAAATGGTGATGTTAGATTTCTTGTTTTCAATTAAAATTAAAGCTGAATATAATCGAGATTATCTTGGACTCAAAGAGTGGAGGAACAGCCATCAATCATGAATTCTTACTTTGTATTTCTATACCAAGCATGGGATTACATTTGGTGGCTTAAACAGCATCTTTCTAGTGTGGACAGAATTTTCCCCTATACAGATTTTGATGTACTTGGATAAAGATTCCCATGACAAAAAAACTAGTTGAAATCTGTGGGTAGAACATGTTAGTTATTGTAGCGATAATTGTTATGGAAGACAAATGTATTATAGGATTATGTGAAAATGAGGACATAAATGTGCATAAACATTCACAAGATGAAGCCTTCGATGGTTAACTTGTTTTCTTTCATGTAAGAAAACCAATTATAAAGTATGTTAGAGGAGAAATAACTGACACATACATCTGAAGACAGGAAGATCAAGTGTAAACTGAAGACCAGATCTGTTACAACTCTAAGAACTGTGTAGCCTGGATATAGTAGAGACACCCCACGCTAATCTAATCAAGGAAAGAATGTAGCTGCTTTTTATACTCAGCCAGTTACTTCTACAGAGAAGGTGGTGCAGATGTTTCTATAATGCCCTATTCAGTTATGGAATTCCTTTTCACTCAGAACTTTGCCCTCTCTAGCAGCAGGCTAATTAAATCTACCCACTGGAGACCCAAAAATGGAATGGGTGGAGAACTACAACTTCCTTTGTTATCCTGGCAGGGCATTTACATTCATCATAAAAATGAGAAATCATTGATTTAATTAAGCATCTATGCTCAGTGTCACCAGCGAACATGACAAGATGGCACTTAGGGAAAAGAAACCTAGAAGATTCCTGCTTTAATGAATTTAAATCTTCATGGTTACATTCAGATTTATGTAGTGATTATTTAAAACATAAATAATTAAATCTATACTTACATGTATATTTTTTAAATGTAGAGACTTTCAAATAGAGTATAGCAATAGCAGTTTGTGTGATGTCATTTTAATAGGCATGTTTCTGGCTAAAAGTCCCTTCTATTTTAAGGAGCAGGTCATTCATACAATTGGAAGAGAAATTCAACGTATTCTCTAAGTGAACCTTGGAAATAGGTGACTTTATTCAGTACCAATGCTGAATAAAAAATAACAGTAGAGCTAAAATCCTTTATTACTTTTTATGAAAACTTGAATATGCAGATGCTGTTGCATGAGAAATTAGAAGAAATACCAACTAGAGATATTCTAAAAGAAACTAAAGTCCAAAGGCATTCTGATTGTCCAAGATCTAGTTGGTTGTTAAGCAGCTGCCAAGGTTTATACAGTCATGTTTTTCTATCAAGACATTTACAAGAGGAACTAAAATCTGATCAGTAGAACATTCCTACACCTCCAAATTGATTTTCTAGTTAGTGCATGAGGACCCGGATTGTGGGGGCAATAAGCTGACTTTGTATAAAAAAGAACACCGCTTGGGGGGGCCGAAAGCCCTACTAAACAGGTATATACAAAAGTATGAAGGCTATTGCTTAACACATTGTAAGCTGCCCTGAGTCTCCAGAGAAGGGCGGCATATAAATCGAACCAATAAATAAATAAATAAATCTCTTACTACTACAATGAGCAAAAGCTGTCTATTTTCCTCAACATTGGACCATGCGTTAAGAACAACAATACTATTATATTTCCTGCTTCAGATGGCTTAGACAATTTCAGTGCACAGGACTCTAAGCCAAAACAAACAAACCTCATAGATGTTCAACAATAATACCCGAAAGTACAAGAAAAGATGAGTAGTTTCAGTGCACTTTCAAATGCCTGGATGTTAAGGAGGTTATGGCATATTGCTGTCATTGTAGTGACTCACTGTTAAGTCAGGTAGGAGTTCCTCTGATGGGAGTATCATGACCTGAACTAAGTGAAGATATGCCTTGCCACTTCTTCACCTTTACTACCTAGTGCATCCGAAGACCTTTATGGAGTGGTAGGAAGGGAGTGGAGAAAGGTGAATTTTTACATTGTCACATTGTAAAGTGTATTAGAGGTCCAGGTGCCCGAGTTCCTGCCTTATCCGTTTATACTCGAAGAAAGACATGCAAATAAACTCCCCTGCAATGGTTAATAGACCAATTTTCCTTCAAATTCTTCTCTGCTATTTTCAGGGGAAACTGGATATGAAATTGTCACAACTATATTTCTACTGGGCATTAAAAATGCTTTGTCTTCTGAGAGTTGCTTTTGTTTCTTTGTTTTTAATCAGATTTATCATTGTTCAGTTACCTTCCAGCAATATTATAGCTGCCAATAACAATTCACCCCTCTGTAGAAGTAACTAGCTATGTCATGGTGGTACAGTGGTTAGAATGCAGCATTGCAGGCTACTTCTGCTAACTGCCAGTTGTCAGCAGTTTGGCAGTTTGATTCTCACCAGCTCAAGGTTGACCCAATCTTCCATCCTTCTGAGGTCAGTAAAATGAGGAC